TCAAGTGGTAGAGCACTAGCCTTGAGCTGAAGAGGCGCGCCCAGGCCCAGAGTTCAGGTCCCACAACCGGACCCAAAAAAAAAAAAAGAAAAAAATTAAAAAAAAAAATCTAAGCTAATGTAATTAAAAAAAAAAATTTTCACATTCACTTTCTCACAAACAAATTTCATCTCTGGGGGATGTGACATTACAATGAGGACAGCAAATAGGTTCAGAAAATAACATCTGTATAGTTACATATTAGCTTTCACACTAGTAAAAAGTACTGAAATCCATATTTTAGGTGTGGTTATAATACAAATATGCCATCAGAGATCTGATGATGGAAGCTCAAAATCAGCCTGGGCAGGAAAGTCTGTGAGACTCTTATCTTCAATTTTTTGTGAAAAAGCCATCATGAAGCTGTGGCTCAAGCAGTAATTAGGACCTCAGATAAAACTCCAGTAGTGGCAAAAAAAAAAAAAAAGTTGTCATTATAGAGTAGATATTTATATTGAGTTATAGAGCGATACAAATGCAAGCTCTAATAACAAACTAAAGTTCCAAACCAGGGCAGGGAATGTGGCTTAGTGGTAGATGCTTGCCTAGCATGCATGAAGCCCTGGGTTCGATTCCTCAGTACCACATAAACAGAAAAAGCCAGAAATAGCACTGTAGCTCAAGTGGTAGAGTGCTAGCCTTTAGCAAAAGCAGCTTAGGGACAGTGCCCAGGCCCTGCCTGAGTTTAAGCCCTAGGACTGGCAAAAAAAAAAAAAAGCCAAAATTTAAATAGCTTGTTTGCAACAATGAGGTAAGTAATGAAGCTTTGGAAAATGAAAAACATCATAGCCTTCTTCACAGCATATTCTATCAAAATCTTCTGGAGAGGGCTGGGAAGGTGGTTCAGTGGTAGAGTGCTTTCCTTGCAGGCATGAGGCCCTCAGCACCACATAAGCAGACAAAACTGGAAGTAGCATTGTGGCTCAAGTGGTAGAGCTTGAGCTGAAGAGTTGAGGGACAGTGCCCAGGCCCAGAGTTCAGGCCCCACAACCAACCAAAAAAAAAAAATCTTCTGGAGGATATAAGTACATATTTGTTCATAAATGTGTGTGCATATGTGTATATGTGTATATGTGTGTGTGTGTGTGTGTGTGTGTGTGTGTGTATACATGAACTCATGATCCCCCTTCCTCTGTCTCACAAGTAGATGGGATCATAGGTATGTGCCACCATGCAAGGCTGCTCAAAGTGTGACTAGTAACTCTAAGTTGCTATTTACCATGATCTCTATGACTCAGTGCTACTGAGAGTGTGACCCATGGACTGATGCCATGTGCACTCATCGTTAGTGGTAGTAAGTACAGGAACTGAAAGAATAAGGCCTAACAGACTTCAAGCAACTCAGCAGTAATTACACCTGTGCTGAGTTGTCACAATGAAAACAAGGGACTCTGAGCTTAATTTGAACTTGTAATTTTCTTTGTATTAATTTTATTCTAGTAATTCATTTTATCACCTGAAATTATCAATACCCATCAGATTGCAAAAACCTTTTATGTAGAAGATATTTTTATTTTTCATGACACTGAAAGAACTAGAAACTAGCTGATCTAAATTTTGAAAACAGATACAAAAACTTTTCTTTTAATTATCTCCACAAACATTGGTTTACATAATATAAAATTAACAGAAAATCTTCCCGAGTTTTATCAAATTCAATACTCTTTCAATATTAGTATGGATCTAAAGCTCATAGTGAAATAAGAATGAAGTAACTTTACCTCTTTCTGTTGTAGCTGATTTCGGTAACTTGTAGATTGTTGCTTTATTTGAAGCTCTGATGCTTCATGCTTTTCTTCTAGATCAGTACAAAGTTTTTTAAGTCTTTCATTCTAGAAGAAAAACATATTGTCAACAAGAAGACTACAAGCCAAACACATTAGTAATGTGATATGCACAGCATCATGAATGTACTGCTTCACATAAGAAAGTGATGTAGCCGGGCACCAGGGACTCATGCCTGTAATCCTAGCTACTCAGGAGGCTGAAATATGAGGATCGAGGTTCAAAGCCAGCCAAGGCAGGAATGTCCATGAGACTCTTATCTCCAATAAACCATTAGAAAATCGGAAGTGACACTGTGGCCCAAGTGGTAGAGTGCTTGCCTTAAGCTGAAAATCTTAGGGATAGCACCCAGGCCCAGAGTTCAAGCCTCATGACCAGAAAAAAAAAGTGATGTAAAGTATAAGATCTCAGACAGAATTCTGGCCTTTAACAGCAATGAATGAGAAAGGGGGCTGCTGGTGGAGAAAGGCCCTGTTGCAGGGAAGGCAAGGGGATTTCACTTTGGAAATGTCACTTTTGTCTTAGATCCTAGGAGCTTCTGACATTCACAAAAATGAAAATTAAGATCCAGTGGGATTATATAAAATACCCAGAGAAAAGCAAATAAAGCACATTAAAAACTTTCCTTTAGTACTCTATCTCTAGAAATCTGTCAAAGACTTGAAGAAAGAGTAATAAGAACTGTCGTACAACTAATTATCATCCATTCTACTAGCAAACTGTGAATGAATTTCTGTGAGCTGATAATTAAAAAAAAACAAAACCCAAAAACCTGCACCTAACTGACTTCAGTATACTGAAGTCAAAATCAGATTCTTGCTAGGCATAGTGGCTCACACCTGTAATCCTAAACTACTGAGTAGGCTAAGATCTAAGGATCTCACTTCAAAGCCAGCCTAGGCAGGAAAGCCCATGAGATTCTTATCTCCAATTAACCACCCCCCAAAAAAAACCCACAAACAAACAAACAAAAAAACCTGAAAGTGGTAAAGCATTACCTTTGTGCCATAAAGCTCAAAGAAAGTGCCCAGTCCCTAAGTTCAAATCCCAGGACCCTCCAACACACATACAAAAACCAGTTTCTGGGGCTGGGAAGGTGGCTCAGTGGTAGAGTGCTTGCCTTGCATGCATGAGGCCTTGGGTTCGATTCCTCAGCACCACATAAGCATAAAAAGCCAGAAGTGGCACTGTGGCTCAAGTGGTAGAGCACTAGCCTTGAGCTGAAGAGCTGAGGGACAGCGCCCAGGCCCAGAGTTCAGGCCCCACAACCAACAAAAAAAAACAAAAAAACAGTTTCTAAAGGGAAGGAGAGAGGAGGGTGGGAAGAAGGGAAGAAGGAAGGAAGGAAGGAAGGATGGAAGGAAGGAAAAAAGGAAGGAAGGAAGGAAGGAAGGAAGGAATAGGATCTTCAGACAGTGAGAGCAGAACATGAGAGCAAGTACAGAGTTCTTGCAAGCTTGGGTTTCAGTGTAAATGCACGAGGCAGCCACTCATCCTGCAGCTCATTGAAGTGCAAGATCTTGGAAATCAACTATTGTGAG